TCATATGAGAATGGTTTCTAGTGAAAGAAATAAGAATGAATTTACACCATTTGATCTATTAAATCAAGGGTTGAGATGCAGTCAACATTCATAAAGTCTGTTTGACTCCCGGTGGCACTGCCGTAAATATAACAACTTTTTATGGGCAAATATCTTCATTGGAGGGTATTATAGTCTTTATTATCAATAGCATAGGGTAAATGATGGTTCATTCAGACACATTAATTGCATCTAATAGATAGGCAGAGGCGATCTGGTAATTGTGGCGGTTTCACAACAATCCATGGACGATTGAGCTCAAGCTTTCACCAGATTCAGTCTTGTGAGTAACGGTTGTGCAATTTCCATATTTTACTGAGTTTTTGAGGCGATTAATAGTTCGATTTTGTACATATTTGGAGTAATTTCTTCATCAATTACAGAATATGGGGAACTCTCCTCAAACGAGGTAAGTTTTTTTAAAGATAATCTCAGAATATGTGTATGTTCTCAGAATCCGATGATCTGTTCGTCAATTTCGTACAACCTGTTATAGTTCTTATCGTATTCAGATGACAAAAAAATCGGTTCCTCTGTTTCTTGTAGTTAATGATGATGTTATTGTAATTAGTAGGTGTTTTTTATGTATGTTTAGTTTTTGGGTTGTTCATGAAGTTGAATCCTGCTCTGGTAACTCCTCTGCTATTTGTTTCATTGTGGGTTTTCTCTTTAGTCAAACATTTTGTTGTTTGTTAAGCTATGGTTTTAGTTCTTTACAGATTGTGTTTGTGTGTGTCTTCTTAGATCGAGTGTTTTTTTGTCTTTTGTTGCGAGATTTAGAGTTCAATCGTGCTTCTCATTTTATTTCTTTTTATCTAGCTTTACAAATTTGTGTTTCTTTTTATTTCCACCTACCTTTTTCCTACGTTGAAATTGTTCATAGTTTTCTGACAATTTTCTTGCTACTTTCGCACAAAAGAATGCACGGTTTTTTTTCTTTCATGTTACATCTTGATTTGTTTCAGTAGTTCCAATAAGTGTGGGTATTATGTTCTAATTTGAATTTGTGTGCAGGTACTACCCGCAAGAAGCTCGACATTATACCTGAACATCACGGCGACGGAAGTCCACGCGATGATGACAGAGGTAAATCCTATGATGTGCCGTATGTTGTGTTTAGTTTGGTGCAATTTACATTTTTTAGTGAATATATATATATATATATATATATATATATATATATATTATCAGTATGATTAAGCATCTTTTATTTGAATTCATGTTGGAATATTTGTAATATTTGATTAAGCTGGTCTTATCAGCTTTTAGTCAGTTTATTTTACTTGAATAAACTATCGTTTTATTAGTGTTCTTTGCTTTTATACGTGAATTCTCGACCATAGTGTGTTGTACATAATCAGTGCAGGAGAGAACTCCCGACGCACCAGAACGTGTTAGCGACCGACCTGATAACGACCATCCGGTAGATGATGTGCCCAATTAGATATTACACCAAACCGGCCTGCCACTCGACGTAGTACAAAACTCCCTTCAGTACAACAAACCGCTACGAACTCACGGTCCAGTAACCCACAACAAGGTAACTATTTATGAAATACATATATGACTAACTGTCATGTGAATACAATATGTGGCTATTTACATCTACGCGACTAACCGGAATTCAGTTTACTCGTGTGTCACTTTCACCTGCGTCAATTTAATCTTTGGCATTAATATATTAATTCTTTCTTGTTTATATGTTTTGTTATCTGAGATTGAATGTCCATTTTAGTTGGAAGATTGTAGATTGGTTATCGCTTATGGCGTAATTAATTATTCTAATATATGTATCATACAGGTAACAACAACAATTCAGATGAACAGCCAATTGGAAAATCAGGTGATAAAGGTCATTATGTTAATTTTCTAATAGTGTTGTGTTATTTTATATATGTTTTCTATATGTGTCTTATGTTAATATACACGAGCATTGAAAGTTTAAAAAACTTTAAATACCTGCTAGCACCAACTGTACGTAATATACTCGTACAATGTTTGATAAATCGCAGCACCCAAGCGTAAGGTTGTTGCACCGAATCGGGCAGAGGGACATGTGAAACGTGCAAAAATGGCCAGATAGCCAGAAAGCGAGGACGCCAATCAAACTCAAACAGAACATTGTCAAGAAACGACAATGAGAGACGGTATAAAGTTCTACGTCTCATAAGCACTGTATTTGTTTTCATTACACAACTCTAGATTGTAAAAAAAGGTTTATATAACTTACAGATAATGCAAGAGTGCAGCGGATTGTTAACAAAACAGGTGGTACGCACTCATTGGAAGATACCCGGGTAGCAACAGATGATGCACTCCCGACCATCCACACGAGGACATCCCCAACGATATTCGTGAAGGCGGTGTCCGGTTTGTCTGAGGACCAGAGATGTGTAGTCCGTGATATGGGATTTGGATGCTTGCTTGATTTGAAGATAACAGCAACCCCGACGAAAATGGAATATTGGCTGGTTGATAACTTCAGCCATATGGACCGGAAGCTGCAATTGTATGATGGAGAAAAAATCCATATGAAGGAAGATGATGTGTATAGTGTGATGGGGTTGCCCCGTGGAACTATTGAGGTCACGAATCGTAAGAAAAAGACAGATTCAGGAGCGTTTAAAGAATGGGCCGATATTTATAATGTCAGTGTTGCCACCAAAATAACGGCTACAAAGGTGTTGGAGATGATTCAGACCTGTGATAGAAGCGATGACTGGTTCAAACGTCATTTTGTGGTTCTCATGATTACGTGTTTATTCGAGAGCTCTCAGAATGGAGTGGCGAATTTACGCACAGTTCACTTGCTCGACGATTTGTCAAACGTGAACAAGATGAATTGGTGTGCGTACCTGATTCGGTGTCTGGTAGGTGCTAAAAAATCATGGAATGCTAGTCGGAAGCGCAAGAATTTTACCGGACCATTGCTATTTTTTACTGTATGTGCATTCGATCCTTGATGACGTATACCTTGCGTACTTTATTTTCCAATTTTTTATTTATTCAGTTATTTATTTGTATTTATTGTGTTCTTTTGTTTGTGCAGCTGTTTTATGTCGATAAGGTCGTGTTATCGATTAGAACCGTAGCGAGATCACTACCAATTTTCAAATCATGGAATAACGGCTTGCTGAAAGTGAGAGAGCAAGACGAGATTGCGGCTGGCGCATTCGAGAGAGGATATGTGGATGACGACATACACGTGTTGGACGCTCGTCACCATGTCGACATACATGATGGCAGCCCCATTGGGAATGACGTGGACTGTGCGTCGGAAGTAAATGTCCAGGTAAGTGTACATATTATTTTGTTTTTCCTGTGTGTCTTCCTTTTGTTTTTTCTTTTCCTTTTTTTTTTTGTTTCAGTGCAACAGCTGCATAACATTTGTGCAATGTGTGTACTTATTTGGTTCAGTCTGGTATTGTTGAGTCCATATGATGTTATACGAATTATTTTTTTGCATCATATGGCTTGCATTGTCGTATACACGTTTAATTGATTCGTTATACCCTTTATGTTGTTTCAGCCGTTTATATAGGAATTTGCATCAAAGAACCCTATATTTTTGTGTTTCCACACACATTATATATTTCGTTGATTGAGGTGGATATGTAGTGTGATATTGTCGGTTTGTGTCTCGTCTTGTTTGTCTAAATTTTTGTTGTCTACTTGCTCGTTTTCTTCTCAAGTTTACGGTTTCATGAATCATCGCATGTTTGTTATGTTTTATACGTTATGTATTGGTGCAACCGGGTGCACTGAAAAGTTCAACCTGTACAGTAATTATGTGCAACTGACACTAGTAGTGTATATGGTTTTTTTTTTTTTTTTGCTATTTGTTATGATTTATATGTGACATATAGGCGGTGCAACCGCATACACAGAACGGTGCAGGCTGTCTATTAATTATGTACAACCAGAAGCAGTAATGTATATATGTTTCTGTATGATATTGTGTGTGATGCCATGATCGATATGGATATGTATTGTGATTTTATCAGATTGTATATTGTACTTTTTTGTCTTGATCGTCACTGTATACTTGTTCGTTTACTTTATGATTATATGTTCCTTCAAATTGTTAGTTATTTGTTATGCTTTATATGTGATGGATAATCGATGCATCCGTATACACATAATGGTGCAGACTGTCTAGTAGTTACGTGCAACCAGTACCAATTCTATTTATGTGTTTGTCATACGAGATCGTGCGTGTTACTATGATTGTGTGTGTGTTTCTGATTGATTTATCTGATTTTTTTTTCTCTATTTTTGTATTTATTTTTCGTAAAACAGGATTTTGTTCAAGAATTTGCATCAAAATCCCGTATTCTTGCCACTACGGGTGTTGAAATTTTACAGCTGGTCGAGAGGGTGCCTAAAGATTTATTAGGCGATGAGAATTTTATGAAGATGCAGGGTGCTACACAGAAGCTACTTGGGGTGTCTAATTAAGACGTAAAAGGAAAGTCTAGTCAACAAATTCCCAGCTGCAATGACGAACCTACCATTCCCGGACCAACAAGTTAGTGGATGACGCATTCTGGAATGACCCCAAGACTCTGGCTATCTTAGATGCTATTATCGATGCTGTTGCGCATCGAGACCGTTTTAAACGGATTCGTCATGAAGGCCCCAGTTTTAGCTTGGGCTTGGGACTTACACCGGATGATGAGGATGCTGATGTAGGGCGTTTCAATAGTGTCAACGAATTCACTACTGACGGTCCTTCCTATGTAGACGTGCCATCAGGTACTTTGAGCCAATCAGTTCACGTTTATAACTATCTCATTTGATTGTTGTTGTATATATGTGTTTGATGACATCCATTTTTTACCTTTTTCCTCTTTCTCTTTTCTTTTCAAGCTGATCGCGATGCGGTGGTTAATGAACCGGTCGCTGATACAGTTCTTGATTGCGTGCAAGGTATAAAAGGGATACGTTGTATATATTCAAATATTTTTTATATTGTTCGTTCTGGTTGTATTTAAGTGCTTCGTATGTGTTGACTAGGTGTCGGTGGTGATGCGAATGCTGATGATCCTGTTGTTGATGCTGGCAGACCAAAAAGGAGTCCCAAGTTTTCCAGCATAGTTAAATCACCTTTCCAGCAAAGGTATATTGACGTGGTCAAGAATCTCGACAGCTAGGAAAATACGGTCGTTAACTGAGTTTTGCAAAAAGATAACGAGTAAGATATATGTTGTGCCATTGTGTTATTCTTTTTATGTAATCAACTTTATTATCCATTGTAATTATTTATTATGTTTTTTGTTGTGTTGATATTATTTTTATACACAGCGATGTGATTATATATCAGTCCTTGTCCCTTGATTATGCTGTGAAGAGAGATGTGGTGGCCTGTTTGGAACCGAACACGCCAATCCCCGAGGCATTTATTGATCTGTGGGCTCTTATAATGAACGACAATGAGAAGCTCGGGAGTCGTGGCTCAGTAGCGTGTTTCTTTGCAACCACTCGTCTGTGTAATGAGGTGCATTGTGATATATTTATGATGTATTGGAAGCATACTTATGATATTTGATCTACTTCGTTGTTTCAGTAATACTTACGAAAAAATTTTGTGAATATCAGCTATTTTTTAAGGGAATGAGAAAGAAGGACATAAATTACAAGAAGTTTGTGGAGAGGCTAGATTCAGACATCGGTCGAATGTGTGGACATAACTGGAAGAAAGTTGCATTGGTATCTCAAATTATTGCATTTTAGATCTTGATTGTAATGAGTTGTGATACATTATAACCGTCTGGTCCTTTGTTTGAATTACAGTACGTGATTCTCGTGCACTCTGCTGGTTTTAGTGGGCTGATTTGCATTTCCCCGGGCAACTAGAAGTTGTATATCTTGGATAGCGCCGGCTTTTGTAAAGATGCATCCATCAAGAAATCTGTTTCGTCCCATGCTAGTATTTTGGTAATGGCTATATTCACCTGTAGAAAGTTACTTATTTTCTTTATCATGCGATGTCTTTGTTTTGTTTTTGTCCTTTTGTTGTTTCTTTATTTCATTTTTCACATCTTCGTGTTATATGACAATATGCGTATTCGTTGCAGCGGCAATCACTCGCACAGTACATGGGACACCCGAGTAGGTTGAAATCTTCAAAAGCGGTCGCACTATCGATCCCAGAATTCGTTGATCTGTCGTGCACTGAAGGTGTCGATGTTGTAGATGCCAGCGTCGTAACAATGCGTCACATGGAGACATTCAAAGGACGTGCTACGCCACAGTGGAATCCGGACGTGAAGAGGGCTGACAAAAGGCAGATTGACCTCATGAGGAAGCGGTATTGCTACGTCATTGCGTTTGCTCCATTCTACATGTTGAAAGACAAGAACCTTGCTAAATCAAAGAGGTTCCAGTTGAAGAAAGGCGATGTTGTGTGATGGGTCGTATGTGTCGGTTGTTGTTTGGACACATTAGTCGTATTGTTGACATGTTTTGTTTTATTACATATATGCGTAGGACATAACGCTTGGTACATCCGTCGCTTGATGTTTGCTT